ATTGTATGTAATCAAAAATTCTTAACCTCTCGCTTTAGTAAAAATAAAATAGGGGTTGTAGTTGAGTCGATGAAGCTGCATGGTTACAAATTTTCACGAAGCAGGACATACTGTTCTCGTCGGAAACGCGACACGGCGACGCTGGGGGATGCAGTATGTAGTGGCGTGGGAATCAAGGTAGCTTGACGACAAATGTATTCCATGACATGGCCTGTCCGTCTCCTCGGTCTGGAGGCCCCGCCCACCACCGCGCTACGGCCGCGTCCTACTGCGGTCACCGCGGTTTGATCAAGCCCCCCTCCCTCCCCCTCTGTCCCTCCCTCGGCGGAGGGCTTTGAGGCCCTCCTCTGGCCGAACCGCAGCAGTTGAGCGCTCATCCGAGCGGAGTTTGATGACTGCCGTAGCCGAGCCATCACTCGGGGAGGGAGCGCCCTCTACGACGCCCCGCCCGCCCTAGGGCCCGCCCCCGCCACACTCCGGGGCCGTAACTAGCCGTGACTCCCCCGCGGACCGCGCCGCACGAGCCACCCCCCACCCCGTCGAGGACACTACGCTATGGTCCTGGGCCTCCTAAGTCGCGTCCCGGGCACCCGCGCCCTTTGCGGATGTGCCCATGTGAGGTTGGTTTCTGCCTCCGTCCGTGCCGACACTAGAGGGAGAGCCCCCCTTCTTCCTGGCCTGAAACGGGTTTGCCCGCACAGCGACTTCCCCCCGCCCGTCCCCTTGCTGTTCCGGCCGGGGTCCTCATTGCCGCCCAGCTATTCTGGCGCGGCGCAGGACGCGGACAGTAAATCTTCTCCCGGCGTCTGCCTGTACAGCGGGAGCATATGCAACGTAAACGCCGCTTTCACCACCCCCCTCCCCCCTCCCCCCTCCTCCTTCCTCTTCTCCCTCCTGAGTGACGGACGTTCAGCAGCGGGAATACTGCCCTGCCCGCCCTGTCAATCGATCGGGACGACGCCTTGTTTGTTTGGGTTTTCGCGAGTCAATCTCGAGACGGCATAACTAGCGGTGGCGCGTCTGTAGGTGACTAGCCATGATGCTGGAGAAACAGCTCCTCCGCGTGCGCGCCGCCCTCAACGGCCGCTTCCACTGCGGCCGCGTACGGCCCCGCGGCCCGGCCGCGTGCCAGCGCAAAGGTAAGCGCGAAGGGGAGGACCCCAGGACACCATAAAGTACCTCTCAGGTACCTTACTGCTGCAGCATGGCTCCGCGCACGCGCTTGCAGGACACCAAGTGCGTCTCAGGTACCTTACTGCTGCAGCTTGGCTCCGCGCACGCGCTTGCAGGACACCAAGCACGTCTTGGGTACCTTACTGCTGCAGCTTGGCTCCGCGCACGCGCTTGCAGGACACCAAGCACGTCTTGGGTACCTTACTGCTGCAGCTTGGCTCCGCGCACGCGCTTGCAGGACACCAAGCACGTCTTGGGTACCTTACTGCTGCAGCTTGGCTCCGCGCACGCGCTTGCAGGACACCAAGTGCCTCTCAGGTACCTTACTGCTGCAGCATGGCTCCGCGCACGCGCTTGCAAGACACCAAGTACCTCCTGGGTACTTTGCACGCCGCATATTCGAGTCGGCCGACACGGATGATGCGGATGATATACATCCCACATTGATTGGGACGCGTGGTGATAATCAATTCATCTTTAACGCGTGTGCTTTGGAGCGACTAGAGAGTGCGTTGCGTGACACGCTCTGATCACCAAGTGAAGGCCGCCACGGCGCCGCCGCGGGCCGAGAGTCGAAAGTGGAGCAGCTTGCGGTGTGATTTACAGGAAATCCAATCTGCGTGGCTTTGGCCTTCCTTTTGCACGCACAGCGTTACCGTCGTGGGAACGTCCACCAGCGCTTGCCTCGCGATAGTTTTTGTTTCTCAACTCTGCCCTGGATTCAAATGTGTATCATCTGCTTTCATGATCCGGATCTGGATTTAACTTTTCTCCGGTTGCTGCTCCCCCCCCCCCATCTCCTTTGTCTCCTCTCTTCCGCCCTTTCTAATTTATTTTCTTCTGTTTTCTTCCTTTTTTTTTCGGACGCGTCGGGCCGTCGGGCGTCGCACACGACTGCTTGGCTGTAATGCCCCGTCTTACTCGTTGCAGGGAGCTGGGGCCGCAGCGCGTCGCGCCACAGCGGCGATTCGGAGCCGGGGCCGGGCGACGCGGAGGAGGCGACGGGGGACCCGACGACGCCGACCGGCTCCAAGTCCGGGTCCGGCACCGAGGGGGACGCTGCCGATGAGCAGGGCCCGCCGCCGTCCGCTCGACCGAGCAGGGCGGGCTCCCAGGGCGCGGCCAGGGGCGCCGCCGGCGCCGCCAAGACCGGCGCGCAGACGCCGACGGGGACCCGGCCGCCGCTGGACGCGGTCCTGAGGCTGAAGCAGGGGGTCGCCGTCGAGGACATGGCGGCCGAGACCAACGAAGACGAGTCGGCGACGAGACTGACCAAGAGAATGGTGAGTATGTGAGGCCGCTGCTGGGGTCGTTATTGCCCCCCCCACCAACCTACCCCTTTCGCGGCGCGGTGCGGGCCTATCGTAACGTGCCGCGGGGTGACCTTGGGCGACCTTGGGAGCAGCGGCCCGTAATGGGTCCGCAGCTCCACACTGGAAGGGCGGTCGCCTCGGTTGTCGCGCCTTGACCATGCAGCGGGACCCGCGGACGGCCCGCGGACCACCCTTCACCGCAGCCACGCGGATGTCAACGCGTTTAATACGGTGCGACCACAGTGTGGCCACCGAGGGGTGGATAACTCCCCTGCCAAGTGTACACCCCTAATTCTGCCCAATTCAAACTAATTCAGACCAATTCAATTTAATTCAAACAAATTCAAAACTAATTCAACTAATTCAGTCCAATTCAAGACAATGTTCAGTCAATTCAAGTCAATTCAAGTCAATTCAAGTCAATTCAAGCCAATTCACGCTAATTCAGTAACATAAAATCGCAATAATTCAAACTAATTCAAAACCAATTCAACCAATTCAGTCCAATTCAAATTCAATTCAAGCTAATTCAAATTCAATTCTTGAAATTTGTACACCCAATTCAGGAGTTATCCACCCCTCGGTGGCCCCGCTCTGCTGTTTCTTTTTCCAACCTCCCGACTGCACAGCCGCACTGCAACGTGCGGGGCAGTGGAGCGCTGGCGCTGCGGTCGCAGCAAGCTCTGTCAAGTAGGCACCACCCAATGGCGGTAGGAATTGTACTACTCGCCAGGAATTAGTACTCAATTAGTACTCTCACCCTGTCAAATATTAGAATTTGTACTAACAAACTGTGGGCGCAATCCGAAAACGATATGGGGCGGTGCGTGCATGACGTTTGCACCACCCAATTGTCCGATCCCAACGAGAGACAATGCATTCTGTTCGGAAGAATTAGTACTTTT